AGCGGCATCGGTAGATTTGGGGTTGCCCCATCTGCGTCGTGCTTCGGCCCAGTGTCCGTGTCGTTCCGCCTATCCCCGTCCCGACCGTGCCATGGTTCGGCGGCGGAGTCCGAGCCCTGGCCTCGCCGATCGACGAGTGAGGCTGCTCCATGGGCGGCGGGGGTAGGGCTCGGAATGCGTCGAGCACGGGGCGGAATCCGAGCCTTGCCCCCGCCTCGCATCGCCTCAGGAGAATGGGTTGTTGGTGCTGGTGGGGTTCAGATTCCGCTCCCTAATGGTATCTCCGCGCCGCCGTCCCACTACCCCAGCTGGGTAAAGACCAGGTGGGGCCAAGGCCACGTCGGTGGGGACAGGGATCGGTTGAACGATGCTCACAGGAGGACTTCGGGGGTGGCAAGGGCCAGGAGAACTCGATCCAGAGCGTTGCAGGACGGCCGCAGTGCCCGACACAACTTCCAGAACCGCCAGATCTCGGAGATCCCTGAGTTCTCCCCCCTGCGATTTTGTGCTGGTCCTGGCTTCGTCCTGGCGAAGGCAGGGGGGGCGGGCCTCCTCAGTAGGACGAGGCCCCTGACCCTCTCGAGACCTCTCCGAGACCTCGCCGGGAGCCGCAGGGGGCTCCTGCTCGTCGGAGGGCCAGGGGGCTTCTTGAGAAGGCATGCCCCCTCTCACTTCCACAAGATGCCAGGACCAGGGCAAACTCGGAGGGGGACACAGCGGGGAGCTCTGAGATCTGGCGGTTCTGGAAGATTCATCGGGCGCCGCGGCCGTCACGCAACGCAACGATTCATCCTAGACTGAAGTGGGGCACGTCCCTCTACAGGCAGATTTTGGACGACAAGTTAAACGTACCCCAAAAATACTTTAAATACCCCAAACATCGTCCCCAGACTATTTCCCTAACTAGGCTCTGCCTAGAAGGGTTCTTACTCTGTTAGCTAAAGGGGCCGGGCAATGCTAATCGCCCCGGGCGCTTCCCCCAGTCCCCGCCCCGCGGTTCCCCCAGTCCCCTGGGAGCTTTAGCCTTAGCTTTAGCTTTAGCTTAGCTTTAGCTTTAGCTTTAGCTTTAGCTTAGCTTTAGCTTAGTGTTAGCTTAGCTTTAGCTTAGTGTTAGCTTAGCTTTAGCTTAGCTTCATCTTCGTGTTAGCTTAGATTTAGCTTAGCTTTAGCTTAGCTTTAGCTTAGCTTCAGCTTAGTGTTAGCTTAGCTTTATCTTAGCTTTAGCTTAGCTTAAGCTTAGCTCTAGCTTTAGCTTTAGCTTAGCTGTAGCTTAGCTTTAGCTTAGCTTTAGCTTAGCTTTAGCTTAGCTTTAGCTTAGCCTCAGCTTAGCTTTAGCTTAGCTTTCGCTTAGCTTTAGCTTAGCTTTAGCTTAGGTTTAGCTTAGCTTTAGCTTAGCTTCAGCTTAGCTTTAGCTTAGCTTTAGCTTAGCTTTAGCCTAGCTTTAGCTTAGCTTCAGCTTAGCTTTAGCTTTAGCTTAGCTGTAGCTTAGCTTTAGCTTAGCTTTAGCTTAGCTTTAGCTTAGCGTTAGCTTAGCTTCAGCTTAGCTTTAGCTTAGCGTTAGCTTAGTGTCAGCTTAGCCTGAGCTTAGCTTTAGCTTAGCGTTAGCTTAGCTTCATCTTAGCTTTATCTTAGCTTCAGTTTAGTGTTAGCTTAGCTTTAGCTTAGCTTTAGCTTAGGTTTAGCTTATCGATCAGCTTAGTGTTAGCTTAGCTTTAGCTTAGTGTTAGCTTAGCTTTAGCTTAGCTTTAGCTTAGTTTTAGCTTGGCTTTGGCTTAGCTTGAGCTTTAGCTTTAGCTTAGCTTTAGCTTAGCTTTAGCTTAGTGTTAGCTTAGCTTTAGCTTTATCTTAGCTTCAGCTTAGCTTTAGCTTAGCTTCAGCTTAGCGTTAGCTTAGCCTCAGCTTAGCTTTAGCTTAGTTTTCGCTTAGCTTCAGCTTAGATTTAGCTTAGTTTTAGCTTAGCTTTAGCTTAGCTTTAGCTTAGTTTCAGCTTTAGCTGTAGCTTAGCTTTAGCTTAGCTGTAGCTTAGCTTTAGCTTAGCTTCAGTTTCGCTTCAGCTTAGCTTTAAATTAGTGTTAGCTTAGCGTTAGCTTAGTGTTAGCTTAGCTTTAGCTTAGCTTTAGCTTAGCTTTAGCTTAGCGTTAGCTTAGCTTTAGCTTAGCTTTAGCTTAGCTTTAGCTTAGCTTTAGCTTAGCTTTAGCTTAGCTTTAGCTTAGCTTTAGCTTGAGCTTTAGCTTAGCTGTAGCTTAGCTGTAGCTTAGCGTTAGCTTTAGCTTCGCTTTAGTCTAGCTTTACTGTTACTACTAATGCTGCTTTCCTAGGGGCTACAACTCCTAGGTAGGGTCGCACTGGCATAATTTATGATTATTCCCAACCATCCTGTTGTGTTGGGTCCTCGTTTTGAAGAGACAGTGCCCCACGTCACACCTCCTTCCTCCTTCCTCCTCCTCTCCTCCTCCTCCCTCCTCCCCCATCCTTGCCTCTGCTCTCCGCATGTCTCAGCTCACCCCCTCCTCCCATCATCATCATCATCATCATCATCATCATCATCATCATCATCATCATCATCATCATCATCATCATCAGCATCAGCATCAGCATCAGCATCAGCATCAGCATCAGCATCATCATCATCATCATCATCATCATCATCATCATCATCATCATCAACCATCATCATCGTCATCGTCATCATCATCATCATCACCATCATCATCATCATCATCATCATCATCATCATCATCATCATCATCATCATCACATCATCATCATCATCATCATCATCGTCATCATCGTCATCATCGGCGTCATCGGCATCGCCATGGCTGATTCGTTTCGTGGCCCCATGGGGAGCTCGACCGAAGGCCCCAGTGGGGGGGTGCGCATGCGTCCCCCACGCCGAGGACAGCGTTTCATGGCGACACAGGGAGCTCCACCGAAGGCCCCAGTGGGGGGGGGGCACATGCGCCCCCCCACGCCCAGGATAGCGTTTCGTGGCCCCACAGGGAGCTCCACCGAAGGCCCCAGTGGGGGGGGCCACATGCGCCCCCCCCACGCCCAGGACAGCGTTTCGTGGCACCACAGGGAGCTCCACCGAAGGCCCCACGGGGGGGGGGGGGGGGGGGGGCACATGCGATCCCACGCCCAGGACAGCGCTTCGTGGCCCCACAGGGGGCTCCACCGAAGGCCCCAGTGGGGGTGGGGGGCGCATGCGTCCCCCACGCCCAGGACAGCGTTTCGTGGCCCCACAGGGAGCTCCACCGAAGGCCCCAGTGGGGGGTGGGGGGCGCATGCGTCCCCCACGCCCAGGACAGCGTTTCGTTGCCCCACAGGGAGCTCCACCGAAGGCCCCAGTGGGGGGGGCCGCAGACGTCCCCCACGCCCAGGACAGCGTTTCGTGGCACCACAGGGAGCTCCACCGAATGCCCCAGTGGGGGGGGCCGCATGCGTCCCCCACGCCCAGGACAGCGTTTCGTGGCCCCACAGGGAGCTCCACCGAAGGCCCCAGTGGAGGGGGGCCGCATGCGTTTCCCCCACCCAGTACAGCGTTTCGTAGCCCCATAGGGAGCCCCACCGAAGTCCCAGTGGCACAGGTCGCATGCGTCTCCCCCGCGCAGGACAGCGTTTCTTGGCCCATAGAGAGTACCACCGAATGCGATGCTCACAACGACGGTATTCACAACTGCACATGGTTGGGTCCTTCGCCAGGCAAATGTTTGAACATTCCTCCTGCAGGGGGACGTGCCCGCCTAACTCCTAGACCTCCCTCCCTCCTCGGCGCGCCGCCGAGGGGCCCTGGCTGCCGCAGTCTGGCGCCTGCCGCGTCGGGCGGGAGCGCCGAAGGGAGGGGGCGGGAGCAGCTTCGTCGGCGCCTGGAGGCGGAGGAGGAGGAGGAGGGGGAGGAGGAGGAGGAGGAGGAGGAGGAGGAGGAGGAGGAGGAGGAGGAGGAGGAGGAGGAGGAGGAGGAGGAGGGAGGAGGGAGGAGGAGGGAGGGGGCGGGAGCAGCTTCGTTGCTCGGTCCTTCCAGAGAGTTATCTTTTGGCACTGGAAGCCTAAAAGCCTAAACATGCGGAGCGACATTGCCTGAAATCAAGACGCAGAATAGCTTTGGGATAGGTTTTTACGTCGGGCGTTATTCTTCAGCCCTCCTGGAAGGTCAGGGTGGCGCCTGGAGGCGTGCTCGCCCGCGGGAGGCTCTGCCGGCGGCTGCGCCTCGTCGAGGGCTCACCCCGCGGGGTGCCCGAGCCGTCCCCGAGCAGCCCTCGCGGGCCCGAGCCGTGGCCCGGAGGCCACCCGGCGTCGCAGGGGGAGGGGGGTGTGGTGCAGCGAGGGCCGGGGGGGTGGGTGGATATCACGGCGAGGGCCAGGTATTGCCCGACTTCATGGCTTGCCGCTTCTTCTTCTTCTTCTTCTTCTTCTTCTTCTTATTATTATTCTTATTGTAATTATTCTTATTATTATTATTCCTCTTCCTCTTCTTCTTATTATTGTTCGTATTCTTCTTCTTAGTATTATTATCATTATTATTATTGTCCGACTTCATGGCTTGCCGCTTCTTCTTCTTCTTCTTCTTATGATTATTATTATCCCTCTTCCTCTTCTTCTTCTTCGAGATCGCCCCGCCCCCCTTTGTCCGCGTTCATGCCTCTGGCCATGATGCGCTGACCCCCCCCTCCTGGCTCCCATCTTCGGCGCACCCGAGTCGCTCGCACGCTTTCTGCTTTATACCTGTTCTCAAACGCGCTGGACTGGAGTCGCGCGCCTCGCTGCGCTCTCCGTGGGCGTGATCCAAGGAGGGGCTACGCCCCTAGCGTGCCGCCCTCATGGGCAGGGCCGCCGGGCTCCGTCGGCTGCGCGCCCTCCTCCTCCTCCTCCTCCTCCTCCTCCTCCTCCTCCTCCTCCTCCTCCTCTTCCCCCTCCTTCTCCTCCTCCTCCTCCTCCTCCTCCTCCTCCTCCTCCTCCTCCTCCTCCTCCTCCTCCTCCTCTCCGTGCGTCCGTCACCTTCAGCACGACCGAGTCGAGCCAGCGGCCCCCAGCCGCCACAGAGTTTCTCCGGGGTCGGCTCTGTCACGCGCCCGCGGGCCCGCCGCTGGCGGAGCCCGCGTGGCGCCAGGAGCGGGCCCCGGCGGCCTCGCGCTCGCCCCGTGCGCGCAGGGCAGAGCACGCGCGGGCACCGAATTCCAAGACCTGTCGACGACGGTGATGCCTCTGGGAGGGGGAGGGGGAGGGGGAGGGGGAGGAGGAGGAGGGGAGGAGGAGGAGGAGGAGGAGGGGAGGAGGAGGAGGGGGGGAGGAGGAGGAGGAGGAGGAGGGGAGGGGGAGGGGGAGGGGGGGGGGGAGGGGGAGGGGGAGGGGGGAGGGGGAGGAGAGGAGGAGGGAGGAGGAGGGGGAGGGGGAGGGGAGGGGGAGGGGGAGGGGGAGGTGGGGTGGGAGGGGGAGGGGAGGCACAGGTGGCACAGGGGGGGAGAGGGGACCCCCCCTATGCCCCCCCGCTGGATCCCGAAGGTCACCAGTCCTTCGGCCTGCATCCGAAGTGCGGGTGATCACGACTTGGCTGTTGCCCCCGCTGTGCCCATCTCCACATGGGCCTGCGTGCGGTGCTGTTTCTTCCGCTCTGGCCCAGCGGGCCCAAAACGTAGGGAGAGGAAACAGACCAGCCCGTCGCCGCACGTTTTTTCGTTAGTTCCCAACCCTCCTGCGTTGGGTTCTCGTTTTGAATAGAGCACTGCTCGCGCGAACCTTCCCACCCCCCCCCGTCCCTCTCTTCCCCCCTGCCTTCGCTCGTCGCTGCGTGCCAGCTGGGGGGCTGCGATCTGTGAAACTGTCGCCACTTTCGAGGCCTGCTGGGGGGCCCAGCACAGTGGGTACCCACGGCGGATTCAAATGGGACCTCGCCATCCCTGGGGGGCTGCGATCTGTGAAACTGTCGACATTTTCGAGGCCTGCTGGGGGGCTCAGCATAGAGGGTAATCGCGGCAGATCCAAATTAGACCTCGCCCTCCCTGGGGGGCTGCGATCTGTGAAACTGTCGCCACTTTCGAGGCCTGCTGGGGGGCCCAGCACAATGGGTACCCACGGCGGACTCAAATGGGACCTCTCCATCCCTGGGGGGCTGCGATCTGTGAAACTGTCGCCACTTTCGAGGCCTGCTGGGGGGCCCAGCACAGTGGGTACCCACGGCGGACTCAAAGTGGACCTCGCCATCCCTGGGGGGCGGCGATCTGTGAAACTGAGCAACTGACTGTCGTTACTTTTCAGGCCCCTGCTTGGGGGGCCCAGCACATGGGTAACCCACGGCGGACTGAAATTAGACTCGCATCCTTGGGGGGGGGCTGCGATCTTGGAAAACATTCGCCATTTCGCCGGAGGGGCCTGCTGTGGGGCCCAGCACAGTGGGGTTGATAACCCACCGCGGACTCCAATTAGACCTCGCCATCCCTGGGGGGCTGCGATCTGTGAAACTGTCGCCACTTTCGAGGCCTGCTGAGGGGCCCAGCACAGTGGGTACACACCGCGGACTGAAATTAGACCTCGCCATCCCTGGGGGGCTGCGATCTGTGAAACTGCCGCCACTTTCGAGGCCTGCTTGGGGGCCCAGCACAGTGGGTACACACGGCGGATTGAAATTGGACCTCGCCATCCCTGGGGGGCTGCGAACTGTGAAACTGTCGCCACTTTCGAGGCCTGCTGGGGGGCCCAGCACAGTGGGTACACAC